ACGGTACTGATTTGAGATTTGAGGGCCCTCCTATTTATTTTTTGTCGTTCTACTGTACTGGGAAAGTAATGCTTCGAGATAGTGGGGAGAACAGGGATGCAAAGCAGTTGATTCGTACATGGATGAAAGACAAAACTATATGGAGCAAGTTGTAAGATCATCTCCAATTTAAAATTTCTTTTTTCACTTCAAAATGTGGTGAAACAAAAAAATAAATGCTGTGATTCAGCCAACCGGATTCCAATTTTGCAAAGGTAAAGTTCTTTCTTCTTTTCACGTGTTTCTTCAGCAAGTTAGATAGAGGCAGAAAAATAGCATAGATGAACAGTGCAATGCCAATATTGACGTCCCACTGTTCACCCGCAAGCAAATAGCGAAAGTTTTACATTCCGCCGGAGCCCTGCAGCAACGCCATTCAAGCATTTGGAGTTCGTTTAGAGATGCCCTGAGCTCAGTTGGGGACATAAAGACATAATAGGATCTGAGCTCTTCCTTGTCTATTGCTGGAGTAAAACAAAAAGGAGACCTGGACGTAGAGTTTGCGTGTGAATGGAAACGAGTTGTTGCGGATGTAGAGGACCTAACACTATCTTGGACAAAGCTATTGGAGTGGATGAGGAATAAGAGTTCAAAGCAAGGCGTCAGCTCGGCAGGCGCTGGAGGCGAGGGTCGGATAGGTTCTGCAAGGTCCCATTATCATGAACGGCTTGTAGGGAGGAGGAAGAAAAGCTACGGTGAAGGCCTGGTGTTGACGGAGTTTACGATCGACAATGGCTCGTAATTAAACGAGGGAGCAAATCGGATAAAAAGGTATTGAGGAAGAGGCTCGGTGAGGTTGAGTTTTTTTTTGCATTGGGCGTTCAGGCTTCAGGAAAGTGGCGAACATAGAAAACAACCAAGAGAGAGCTGAGGGGTTTTGAATTCTGCCGCTTGAGTGTGAAAATAACTAAGAGAGTTGAATGTGAAGCCTCCCTTCTCATTTTAACACAAATAAAAGACGACGACCGAGGTGAAGAAATGACCAGTTGAGGTCCGAACACCTTTTAGAGGTGAAGAAATGAATTCGAGTCCAAGAGACGTATTTTAGCGAGATTTATGGGATTTTGTGCAGTAATCTTTGAAAGAACAAGGCATGAGATTTAATCTTTTATTTTTTTTTTGGGGAATTTTGGGGCATAAGCCCATATATTTCATTGAAAGAGAAAAAGTTATATGTAACTATAAAATTACAAGTAAAAGACAGCCTTACATAAGCAAAATAACAAAAACTTATGTAAGACCAAAGTAAAAACCTCATCTATACTTCCCAATACAAAAAGAAACCTCAACTAAAACATTAAAGAAAGACAATTGTCCAAAAGAGAAGATCTCAGTCATAGAACACGGAGGATCCAAAAAAATTCAGTGACTGCAGCAAATAATCCAGACCACCAAAAAGCCAGCAATCGAGCAATTCCAGTTAAGCTCCAGTCGCATAGAAGAGTCCGAACCTGGAAACAACAGACAAGCAGAAAGAAGCAGCAGCAATGCCAATACCAGACTTCTTCAAAAAGCTCCAAATTCCAATTAACCAGGACTCAGAGGATAAAAGAGAGAACAAAAAAAAAAAAAAACCCCTGGTTGCCCGAAGACCGTCCAAGGGGGAAAAGTCGAAAAGGTCAGTATAAGGAGGTTCATCATTGTCCTGGTTAAAGCTCCAAACCACCAGAAAATACAAACTCTATATGCACCAAGCATTCAAAAATTCCCCAAGAGCCCATCAGAATTTTTCCATTTGTAAACTTTAGCATTAACCACTTTCTTCACATAAAATAGCAGTGAAGAAGAACTACGAATTTCATTACCAAATCTCTTATTATTCCTCTCTCTCCATAATTGATATATAATTGAGCATACTATCAGCAAATAAAAGCTCAAAAACGCTCCAGAGAATTCATTATCCATCCAGTTAAACAATTGCAAAATGGTTGGTCTTAACAGAAAATTCCTAGTTCCAGGAATTAAAGAGTTAAGAATATCAAAAGAATATGTGCACTCAAAGAAAAGATGATTAACTGACTCAGATATTGAGTTGCATAGGGAGCAAACCACCGGTACATAAATGTTTCTGTGCCTAAGAGCATCCTGGATTTTTAAACCCCCAACCAAAGCAAGCCAAACATAGACAGAGTTTTTCAAAATATGCTTTTTGTGCCAGATAAACTTGTGCCAGCTACAATCAGAAAAGTCCATATAGTAATCCTCCACAAAGTCTTTAAATTTGGGTTTAGGATCATTCTTCCACATCAAACAGGAGATAGCAGACTCCACAATTTGAAAACTACCAAGAGCAATTTTCAAACTTTGAGGAGTGAGACTATTAAAAACCCAATTAGAGTTAGAAATATAACTCTTCAAAAAAGGATGCGGGAAATAATCCAGAGACGCACCACCCACAAACTCAGCCAAAGTAGTGTTGTTGCACCAATGATCCCAGCATACAGAAATGGATGCATTTGGAGTAATAATAAAAGTGAAATTCTTCTTGACAGATACTGCAGTTTTACAAATTGAAATCCAGAATTTGCTATCTTTAGTAGAAGGAGGTCTCCAAGGAGAAATATAATGAGCAGATAACCAATTGGATAAAGGGGAAGAACAGTTATACATACGCCATATGACAGAGCAGTTAAAGGCAAACTGAAGTGCATTAATCGAGGGGATGCCCAAACCCCCTTTCTGCTTAGGCAAACAAACAGAATCCCAAGAGACCATGTGCAGTTTTTTAAGGCTAGTGATGTCTCCAAAAAACAGAAATTTGGAACAAGTCTTTCTAAAAAACTTAAAAACAGTCTTTGGTAAGATGGAACCTCTAATCCAATAAGCGATAGTATTCTGGATGGTAAACTTTAAATACTGTAATCTCCCAGCAAAAGATAAAAGATTGGCCTTCCACCCCATAAATTTCTTATGAATTTTATCCATCAAAGGCAAGAAATCTTCAACTTTAAGTCTAGTGAAGGAGATAGGGATACCAAGGTATACTAATTTATGACTGACATTGCAAATAGATAAAACTTGGCAAAGCAAATCCCTATTTCTAGTGTTCTTAGAAAACATCACAGAACTTTTATCATAATTAATATGCAACCTGGATACATTTGCAAATTCTTCAAGAGTAGAAGAAAGAATTCTACAGTTATCTAATGTAGCTTCTCCCAAGATTAAGACATCATCCGCATATAAAAGATGAGATATATGAAAGTTATCAACTTTAAAACCTTTGAAACCTCTTTCATCAAGCAGATTGGAGAAAACATCCATAACTAAGCAAAAAAGGAAAGGGCTTAGGGGGCAACCTTGCCTAAGTCCTGCAGACGAGGAGAAAAAACCTTCCAATGCACCTTCAATGATCACAGAAAAATTAACATTTGAAATACACGCCTTTATCCAGTTAATGAAAGGCTTAGGGAAACCTTTTTGCAGCATACGAGCGAGTAAAAATTCTCTGGAAACAGAATCAAAGGCCTTTTTGATATCAATCTTGGCACAAAACATGTTACCAGCTCCTTTCTTATTGACAAAAGAGAGAATATCACTAGCAAGAAGAATACTATCAGTTGATAATCTAGCCTTAACAAATCCAGCTTGAGTTTCTTTAACAATAATAGGCATAATTGAGCTCATTCTATGAGCAATGATCTTGGCAATGATTTTGTATAGAGTGTTGCACAATGAGATGGGCCTATAATCCGAAATAGCCACAACATTTCTATGTTTGGGAATAATTGCAAGAGCAGTGGTTTTAATACCACTAGGGAGATACCCTTAGAAGAAAAAAAATCTGATGGCTTTGCAAACAAGAGGTCCAATAACGTGCCAGGTCGATTTATAGAAGTGATAATTGAACCCGTCAGGACCTGGTGAAGATTTAGAAGAACCTTTGAAGACAGCAGCTTTGATTTCATCATCCAAAATGGGAGAAACAAGAAAATTAGCATAAGCATAAGGAATAATAGTACAAATTGGAAGAGAAAGTAAATTAGTACAATAAGGTGGAGCAGGATTAAACAGATCCTGAAAATGCTTAATAATGGAATTGATAACATCTCCTTTCTCCATATTCGGATTAGCAGTAAGTAAGTTGACAAGTGATTTAGAACTACCAATACGACTTCTGATTTTCCCATACAGAAATTTAATATCATCTTCACCGTGTTGCAACCAATTTAATTTGGCTCTTTGAATAATCCAACTAGCCTGCTTTGAAGAGACATCCGAAATTTGCAAATTTGTGTCTTTAAGAGAGGCAACAAGAGAATCATCCAAGGGGTTGCTCATAAGAAGATCAAGAATGTTCTGTTGCTTATCATGAAGAAACTCAAGCTGAGTATTAAGGGAGTTAGAGTTTGCCCAATCTTGATTTTTAATAGCACCTTTTAAATGTCTAAGAACATAACAAAAATGAGATAAAGGGTTACCAACTAAAGGCAAAGAGATTGCATTTAAAAGATAAGCCCAAAATATGTCATTTTTAGTCCAGAAATTCTTAAACATAAAACGATGATGAGGCTTAAAGGAAACCCCAGAGTGTAAGATAATGGGGGAATGATCCGAACAGGACGGATTTTGAAAGGAGCAGTAAGCATTAGGAAATTTTTTCATCCAATTCTCATTATCAAGGGCACGGTCTAGCTTTATAAAAATAGGATTTAAAGCTTGCTGATTATACCAAGTAAAAAAGTTACCCACTGAATGCATATCCACCAAACAATTTGCAAAGATCATATTGTTGATATCCACCAGATGTGAATGATGTATAGCAGATCCACCCGATTTTTCATTAGCAAACCGACAACAGTTGAAAACCCCAAAAATAGCCCAAGGAAGATCAGAGGAAGGAGCTACCATGTTTAAAGATGACCAGAGATCCTTTCTGCCAGTTGCATTGTTAGAAGCATAAACAATAGAAATCTGGAATGGGAGAAGACTACCAACAGTAACCAACCCATTAATCAGCTGTGAGGTAACCAGAGTTGGAACAAAATTTAACTTATTTTCATCCCATTTAATCCAAATCCTCCCAGAGGAGGAAAGATTAAAGTTGTTGAGACTAACTTCATTCGGGAAGAGAGAGTGAGAAGAGTCAAAAAAGGGGCCGAGAAGAGAAGGAGCATGTATACGGGTCTCCAACAAACACAGCATATCAAGCTTGAAAGAATTAATAAGCCTTTTACAACTTAAAACTTTTTCAGGCCGATTAAAACCACGAACATTCCACATACCAATGGAAGGGAGAGACATTAAGAATTGGCTTTAGAGTGGGATTTTTTACTCTGCTTACCCTTTGCAGATTTTTTGGAATTGTCGGAGGAGGTTTGTTTTTTTCTTTTCTCTGTTTGTTTTTGAGGGATAACAACTTCATCATTAGACACAACCATAGAATCTTGCTGTTCCGTTTCAATTTGAGAGTTTAAAATCTCAAATTTATTTGGAGTTGTGATGCATGTAGATGGCTTAGTAGTGATGGTCAACCGAGAGGAAGAAGATTCAGAAATTTCTTCAGTTGGTATATTCAAATTTGGAATGCTGGCAACAATAGCAACATCAAAAAGATCCTCCTTAGAATATCCAGAATGTGGTGGAATAGCAATATTCTGCTTTTCGACAGTCTTAAGAGAAGACTCGGTATTAATTTTACTAGTAGATGGGGGAGGAGAGTGGGCTTGATAGTGAAGGGGAAGCCCAATACTGTTGGTATGAGTAGGGATAAAGGGTGAAGGGGTATTATCAGTAGTAATCGTAGTGACAACTGGTTCTTTAGGTCTGGATTCTGAACGTGGAGGTCTTGAGGAAGTGTGAGGTATGGAGGGAACATGATTTGTGGGATTTTTGCTATTGCTCCGACCTCTATAGTTCGGAAATTGTGGCCTTGAATCCGTTCCAGCTGAAGAAGGAATCGTGGGACAAAAAGAAAAATAGTGAACTAAAGACTTACAGTGTTCACAAGGTACTGGTCTCCATTCATATTGTACCTTTAATTCCACCACATTACCATCTAGAGAAACTTTGATAACATCATGGTAGGTTGCATTACAGTCCACATTGATATTTTTAATTTTATAATATATATATATATATATATATATAATATTCAATATAAATCAGGAAGATTTACACCTATTCGAATAAATAAATGCAAATTTTATATATTCTTTAACAAAAGATTCAGTTAAGATATTCTTATAAAAATAATATTAAAGTAGTTTTTAAAATTATTGAATTTATTTTTTAAATTTGATATATCCACAAAAAAAAATCTTAAAGCAAAATCAAGTTAAAAACTTCCAAAATTAAATCGAAGACCATATGAATTTCGATTTTAGCAAACTTACAATATAATTGAACTTCTCGAAAATACGAAACCATCAACACCAAATTCGACTCAATCCGAACCCAAATGAGTAGAAATTAAAGACCCGAAGCGCATTTGTAAGGTTCAATCCATAATTTAGATTCCTAAATAGTTTCCAAATGTGACATGCTTATAATCGAATTGAGCGGCTCGACGAGACAAATCCAATGAGCTCAAGATTGTCAAATTCTGATATCATTAAGACATTCAAATGTCCCATAAATGCACCATGATCAAAGGATTCGACATCGGTCGTCCGTTTAAACCACTCCAAATTTACCCTTGATCTTCCTCATATTTACTGACCATGCCGCTCTTAGAAAAATATAAATAGACCCCTCATTATTTATTGAAGAGAGGGGAAGAAGGGACCCTAGCAAGAAGAGAATAAAGAGAAGGAAAAGAAAAAGCAAGAGTCCTCTTGCCACCAGGCTCCTCGACCATCGCCGACTTCAGTCCAACCATCGAATGTCACCGGATATTCGCATGGCTACCGCTGGATGCTGGATCTACTAGCCACCAACTAATACCAGATTTCTACCCATCACCAGATTTCTACTCGACGTCAGACTTTCACCCATCACCGGATTTCTATCCTAAGCCGAACTTTCATCGAACTTCTACATGATGCCAGACTTCTGCACGTTCCCAGATTTCTACCCGACGTCGAACTTCCGCAGGTCACCGAACTTGTACACATCATCAGACTTTTATCTGATATCAGACTTCCGTCCATCATTGAACTTCTGTCTGATATCGGACTTCCGCACATCGCGAGACTTCTGACATCCGTTGCCTGCCAAAAACGGTCCTTTCGACCTCTTTCACTCGTCGGTTATGGTCCTTCCGACCTTTTTCGAACATATCAACACTAATTCTTCCAATTTCTATCATGTAATACATTATATATGATGTACATTTATTACATCAAGCCAAGACTACCCTTCAATGAAGGGCTTCATTTGTAATCAACTACAAATACTAGTTGATTCATTTAAACTAGGCTAGATCCCATAATTTTTTCCCTTTTTAAGATTCTTCACATAAAAATCTTGTTTCTCTTTAAATACTACAACCTCTCTTTAATCTGTTTGTGTGGTGGATCTTCGTATAATGCTAAGACGTTAAACTTTATACATCTCTACCGCCGCCGCGTGCATTCAATGATGCAACAAAATTAATATTATATATGAATAATTTATATTACATTAATTTTAAAATAAATTTAATAATTTTTAAAATTTATCTTGACATAATTTATATTAGTATATTTTCACACTTTTTTTTTCTAATTTGTTTTATTAATATTGGAGCAGTTATAAAGATGATTATAAAGGTGATACCAGGAAATTAATTTTGCTTGAAGGCTGTTGCGATCAATATAAATACTTTTATTTTTGAAATTTTTGGTCATTGACTTTCTTAAAGCAATCATAGAGTGGTTGGTCTTTGTTTCAGGTAGTTTTCTCATTAATCGATTAACTTTTATTTATTTATTTATGTTGTACAGATATTTTTTAGTGGAATGAAACTTCTGAGAACCTATTTGTTATAATATGTTAGCTATTAGAAAATTATTGTCCATTTTTTAATATTTATAAAATACATAACTACTTAAAAAAATCGAAATCTTGTCCTTGCACGTGGCATGATTAAATAATTAAAATGATTAATAAAACATAGATTAGCATTTTATTATAATGTTATTATGTTTATGATAATTTGATAAGTAGAGATAGAAGTATCTTAGTTTCTAAATAATTAAATTGGAGCATTATGTAGACATATATTTTAAGTAATTTGACTAAAATTAAAAATATAAATTGAGATTGTTTTATGAATTTCAAATTAAAAAAATATATATAAATTGAGATTTTTTAATGATTGATTTTCTACACTAATAATTTCACCAAGACACTCCATTAAATCTTTTTCAACAAATTAGAACAAATTATTAAATAAAAAAAAGTTTAACTTAAGAGACAAATAATTATAATATTCAGTTTGAGATAAAACAATAAGCTTATTCATAGCACTAGGAATTATATAGTGCCAATCACAGTCATAAAATATTTTGATGCCTTTCCCTATCAATGCCAACCTACAATTGGCGATATATACGCACAACAATACAACTCATATCTAATCATCTTGCTTAGTTGTGATTATTCCATAAACCTAATCAATTATACAATATCATATTTCATGGATCAATAATATAAAGGTACGCTTATGGGCTTAACTACTCTATAATGCATTAGGTAAACTAACAATTAATATCTTTAATATAGCACTAGAAATTGTTTAACTATTTTTAAGCCTAACATAGCATTTCATTATCAAAGTTAGATCAACATCACTATTCTCTGGGGATTTTTCTTCTTCTTCTTCTTCTTCTTTAACGAGAATTGTATAAGTATATCAAAATTCAATTTTGAATGGTTGTCTGATCCCTGTGATAAGCTTGTTGACTCAAATCTAAATTTAAGAATGTATAAAATAAATAGTGAGAATTCTATTAATAGAGGAGAATCACTCCCCTTCATCAAATTAAATAATCACTATAGCTCTATGTGTCCAACTAAGTTTCTTTTGTTGATGGCAAAACCCTAATTCTATTTAGAGTTTTCTTACCTATTAGCACATATATTGAGGGTGGTTCTTCTCATCATTATGTCATTCTATGTAGCACTCTCATTCTTATTTTTTTTGTTTTGTTTATGTTTTCATCTTCTCTTTATTGAGTGATAACCTGTTACATCCACGTGTAAGAGACACATCAACAACCAACAAGGAATAAGAGACAACCAGCATGGCTTAAAAACTTTACTTTGCTAACTCAAGGATTAAGCACATATTTAAGCTTAATCAAGACTTATGCTTCATATTATTTATTTTTATCTCTTAGGAAATTATATCTTTAGATATTAAGTTGGAAATAATTCTTAGCTATAGGACTTCTTAGATAGGTTGTACAGATAACAAATTATATGGAAGTAATGGAATATGTCTAATTTTCCTCAATTTCTTTCTTGGCCAAGAGAATGATTTTGTATCTCGATTATTATTTAGTTGATTTTAGTCTGACTTCTTCGGAATAAGTAATTGATTTAGCGAAGCTTTTAGGAGATAAGCTTTGAGATACCACACATCATCGTCCTTACAATTGTTATTATGTTCCTCTATCACACATAGTTTTAGATGGTTAATTTGCTTCCCAAATTGAGTCCTTCGGATTCTATCTTAGGTAAACATGTTATGTCAATTAACTGCTTGTTCACAATTAAGGTGGCTACAAAATGTGAAAGGGACTTGGTTATAACTATGATGATTAGGTACAGGCTCATATAAATACATTGAAGATGACAGACGACGACAATGATGTTCCCATAGACAATATATCCATTGATATTCCACATGCTCCAAATCTCATTCATTACTTAGGAAGAATAACTTCTATTAATAATCATAAACTTGCAAGATAGCATGCCCTAATAATATTTGGCTCAAGCGATGCTTCTTAACTCTATCACTCAATTTCTAGCAGGTAATGGTCCATATTGGGCTAATGGTTATCCAAACATGGTGTCATCTTAACTTGTAATACAAAATACTCTTAAGTGTCAGCCTGCACCTTGTAAAGTGTAAATTGGGTATTGTTTATTGTGTTAAAATCCAGTGCAAATGCCTTATTTTAGTTATGATTGTGAAGAATTGTTCAGGAAAAGAAAAAAATTATAAGTATTGAAAGAGCGCCACAGTGCCCACAAGCTCAGTACGCAGCATTGTCTTTAATAATGCCCAATGCTTATTTTTGACATTGTAGCGTGGACCTATCAAAAATTTAAGATAAAATCAATGTCATGGA